TGCCCGGCAGAGCTGAGGGGCAGCCTTGCAGCGACGAAAGAGGGGTCAGCTGTGAGCATCTGAAGCCAGACACAGCTGGGGGGACCCCGGGCAAGCCAGCGGCCAGGGGGAGAACATGGGCTCTGAGGGCGGCCTTGTCCCTGGGGAAGGAAGCAACGGAGGCCTCGCCTCCCGCCCCTGGGGAGGACGGGTCTCCCAGGAAGGGGGCCTCGCTGGAGTGTCGTGTGGACCGGCAGGCACCCTTCCTGCCCCTCCAGAGAGGCCACCCCCTGTCACCCAGCCCAGGTCGGCCTGCAGCCCCAGGGGGTCGCCGCAGTGGCACCCAGGGGCGCTCCACTTTCCAGCCTGCCAGGCACCCTGCCGCCCACTGGCTGAGGGCCCCGCCCTTTTGGCCACCCCATGGGGCCACGAGACAGACTCACAGAGGGGCCCTGAGACCATGAGGGGTGCGAGGGGGCGAAGCCAGGGGAGCTGGCTCTGCCCAGGCCGGCCACGGCCTTGCTGTGTGCCCGAAGGGACCCCAGCTTCTTCCTGGGGCCCCACGTGCTCAGCTGCAGAAGGAATAGGGTGGAGGGTACACGGCCAGTGGATGTGGGCAGTGGGCACCCTGCCCTGCGGGCCAGACTCTCAGGGGAGGGCCAAGGCCGAGGAGGAGGTGGGGCCGGTTGGCGGCACCTGAACTGGCCCTGGCACAGCTGGGATGGACGGAGAGACCGCCGAGGGCAGCAGACAGGCCTAGGGACAGAGCTGCCAGTGCCTGGTCACCCAGTGGTCCATGGTGGGGAGGGCAGCACCTCCTGGACACGACTTAACTGGGGGCGCGGACCACTCCTGATGCTGCATCCATGCTGCCCTTCCCACCCGCACCCAGCCTCACGCCGCTGCTCAAACCCGACTAAAGCTCCCGTTCTCGGCAGCGGGAAGGACATGGGCTTTCCCTCCTCTCTGCTCCAGAAGGGCTCCTAGGAGTGCGGGGGCCCTGTGGGCCTGGCCCACCTGGGACCTGTGTCAGGGAACTGCCCTCGGCTGGGAGGCCAGAGACCAGCCACCTCAAATCGGGGAGAAGGAGCCCAGAAAGGAGCGCCAGGCTCGGCGGAGGGGGCCGGTGCCACGAGCACCCCGTCAGGGGGACCTGCCCACAGGCCCGGGTCCTGCACGCGCGGAGCTCACCTCTGCCCGGCACAGTCCCCCTGACACGCCTCACCCGGTGGAGCCAGGGCTGCCTGCAGTGCTAGGATCAGGGTTCAGACCCCGAGAGGCCAGCCATGTGCCCTGCCCGGCGGGAAGTGGGTGCCACGCCGTGGCTCCACGTGAGTGCGTCCTGGGGCTGCGTGCTCCCCCTCATGACTGGCCACTCTGCCCTCTGCAGTCTCCCTGCTCCTCCGGCTGGAGGGGGTGTCTAGAGGGGTCTCCTGCACCCTGGGAGCCTGCAGGCCAAGTACTGCCATCCTCGGGGCAGGGAGCCAGCTCCTGAAACACCAGGGACACAGCCCTCCGTCACCTGGGCCGCCTCTGCAGCTCCAGGCAGATAGCAGGGGAGGCCAGCAGCCAGCAACATCCAGACCCGGGAGGGCTTCCAGGAGGCAGCAGCCATGGCAGCAGCAGGTGAGGCTCATTCTGGGCATCTCGAGAGCAAGGGGGTGGTATCGTGGGGCAATGGGGATGGGGGCAGGGGCCATCTCAGGGGTCCAGGCCAGGGGAGGGACATGGGATGTCATGCCTACAAGTGGGAAGCCCCGCAAGGGTCTGAAAGGACACTCTGTGCTCAGAGAGGACAGGCTGCCCAGGGAGGCTGGGTGGAGGTGTTCATACCTTCATCTGGAACCTAACTGGGCAGGTTAGGTGGGCCCACTGAGCCTGGGAAGCGCCCAGAATCACAGGCTGGGGCACCCCTCGGTCTCCTGCCCACTCACCGCCTGATCCCTTGCCAGCAAGCCAAGTTGCCCGTTGGCCCCTGAGAGCACCTCATGGGCCATCTGAAATGTCAGGGCCTCGAGAGGATGGCCACCCCTCATCCAGCCCATTTCCCAGATGAAACAACTGAGGTGGGTGGTGGGTTCAAGGTCACCCAGCCAGTTAGGAGAGAGCTGGGCCTGAAGCCAGAACAAGGCACCCTAGTCTGGTACTTTGTTTTGTCCAGTAAGATGAGTCAGGAGGGGGCAGGGGGAAGGGACGGGGACACCGAGTGGACCCATCAGCCCTGCACCCTCAGCACGGGGCCGTGCGGGGCCCAGCACGCACCCCACAAACGCCCATCACCGGCCAGGAAGCAGGAAGGAGAGAGAAGTACGAGGGAATCAGACACGACTCACCTGTCGCTGTGACTTTAATGCCACTTTTGGGGCCTCGGTCTCCCCCTCTGTCCACTCCCCCCACCCCACAGTAGGCAAGTCCTTGAGGGCAGACCAGGGCCTCAAAGGGGCTCCCCGGGACCCCATGTCTCACCCGGTGACACTCTGAATGCATATATCCACACAAGTCCAAAAGGCCTCTGGGCATGTGGGGGACAGTGGGGAGAATGAGACGGGGGGTGCGGTGGGGAACAGTGACGTGTTTCCACATGGAAACACTGCCACTGGCCCAGGTGAGAAACATGTGTCTCCCTGGGGCTGTTCCCAGCCCCCTCCCCAGAACACCTGCCCACTCACCGCAGCCCGGCCCCCGCAGGCCCTGCAGCTCTGGACCCACAACCCCCGAAACCTGAGCAGCCAGGCTCAGGCTGTCCCCGGAGGAACCTGGGGATGCCCACCAGCCCTCGGACTGGGTTTCTGCTGCTCTCACTTGCACGAGCTCCTGGCTGGGCGCCGGGGCCCCTCCCACACCAGTCCTGTTTGAGATGCCTGGTTACCAGGACAGCTGCAAACCTGGGGGAGGGCTTTTTAAAGGCTAATGACAGTTTGCATTTGTTTTTCCCATTTCCAAAGATTGTAAGAGGGAGGGAGGGAGGCGCAGTGCTCACCGCAGGCTGCCTCCCAAGACCATGATGCTGACTCCGGCTCCCACGCCACCGCCCTCTGGCCGGCACCTGCCCGCCCACATCACCCCACACTGCAGATGAAACAGGTGAACAGTGAGGCTGGCCTCGGGTCCTGCCCACGGCCCCCCACAAACCCCCAGCCCGCTGAGGGCCACAGACAAGACTGAATTCAGGCTGGCCCCGTGTTAACCGAGGTCCTAGGTCGGCGCAGAGCCCTGCCCCTCTCTTGCCAGCCCAGGCCCCTCCACCTCAGCTGAGCTAACCCCGGCAGAGCCGCCCTCCCCCGCCGCCCCACCTGCATTCACCGCTCACACGAGGACCAGGACGAGCTGGCAGTGCCTGGGTCTCAGTTCCTCCGAACCCCATCCTGAAGGCCTCTGTACCCGCAGAGCTGTGCGTCTGGCACCTCCCTCAGCCTGTCAGCTGCAGCAGGCCTGTCCCAGGCCCCCGCCAGACCCCCAGCACACCCTCAGAGCTGAGCCCCCGGCCTCTCCTGGGGGCTCCCCTGGCCCCCGCGCCTCGCACCCAGGCAGTCACGAGCAGCCGCTCACCCACCACGCACTCGGCCAGGCCCGGGCGAGCCCGCGCGGTTCTCGGGGGCCCTTCCTGAGAGGGTTTTGGTTCTCGAGCTGAAGGCAGATGCGGGTCCCTCTGCCTCCAGGGCCTCCCAGCCCCCGGGTCACTGGGGCAACATCTCCTGATCTGTTCTCGACTTTCCAGGGAAAGCAGGTCTCCCGTGCCCTCTCTGTGTGTCTGGTCCTGCTCTGGACCATCTCAGCAACAGGAGGGGCCTCCTGCCAGGGCCGGCCAGACGGCCGCCTTCCTCTCTGGGGAGCGAGGTTGGGTGTGAGGAGAGCGGGGGCTCTGCTGAGGCACAGTCCTCTGACAGGGGCTGGGGAAACAAGCCCTCCCCACCCCCAGGCCCCAGGGGTAAAGCGGTGGGATGCCACCTCCTCACAGGGCTTCAAGAGTCCAGGACCTGCTGGTCAGAGCCACGGCGAGCCAGGGACTCGGTTCACCATCTCGCCAGTTCCCTGATCCTCTAAGAGCAGCTGCTTTTAGGGGACTTTGTTCCAGAAACCCAGCCCCTGGGAGCTTCGGGCGATGAGACAGAGGCACAGAGAGAGGAGGGACACCTGCCTCCCCGGAGGCTCAGGCCCACCGCCCACAGCCACACCCGGGGGCGGGACCCCAACACCCACAGAGCTAGCACGTCTCCACCGGGCGGCCCACCTGCTACAACCTGCGGGCACTTCCAGCGTCAGGAGCGAGAGGCCACTCGCACACTCACTCACCGGCTCGCACACTCACCCGCACCCCTGCTCCCACACCTACACGGCCACCCACGTGCTCACACACACATTCATGCACCCAGCTCAAGGGACTGCAGGCCGCTGGCCGGAGTCACAGACTGTCCGCGGCCAGAGGAGCATTTGGCGGGACGTGTTGCACACGCGCAAGCTTGAGAAGAACAAAGAGCAAGCAGCCCTCACCCAGGCCCCCTCCCCACCCCCGCGCCTCCAACAACATCGCCACCTGCTGGCAGACCGCTTAATTACAGGTTCAGTCTCCTGGCAGTTCATTCCACCACTCAAAACACATCTAATGGGAACTGCCCAAGGTGCTGAACGGCCTCATCAGCGAAACAGCCTCCCGGAAATCCAGGTGTGCAGAGAAGGAAGTGGCCGGGGGATTCCAGGCCAGAGGGCTGAGCCCTGTTAGGAAAATGCCAGGTGGTGGGCATGAGACACAGAGTGCGACCGTCGGGGTCCCTGGACTCTGCTCTCCCCCCACTGGTGGCCAGATGGCCAAGGGGAGGCCGACAGCTCAGGCAAGGCCCTAGGAGCCCAGCTCCAGCCCCCCCAGCCTCAGACGGGGGACGGGTCACGGCCTACTGGTCAGCCTGCAGGGCTGACCGAGCCACCACTCAGAGAGCCAACAGCCATACAGCCAGGAGTCTGAGCACACCGGGCGCCCTCGCACACACGCACACACGCTGGCACACACCCACAGCCACCCTCACCTCGATCTGCAGGACTGCCTCCTCGCGCAGCCGGATGGCCTCCAGGTCCTCCTCGGTGATCTCCGGAAGCAGCACCTGCTCCTGGCCCTGCCACACGCTGTCGCCCCCATTAAAGATCTTCTCGTCCTCGGCGAGCTCGGCAAGAGGGGTCTGGGAGCTCTGCTGAAGACACGGACCTATGGTTGCCTGAACACAGCTAACCGCCACCAGGAGGGGCTGCATCTTCCTCCGGGCTCCCAGCAGGCAGCTTCAGCCGTGGCTCAGGCACCCAGGAGCCCCATCCCGGCCCGGACTCTACAGCCCTGAAAGGGTGGGGGCCTGGGACCTCCACCCTGTCACTGGGGGACATCCCCACGGGGCCATGGGGAGCTGGGGCTGCTATGAATGGTGCACAGGGACCAGGGATGGGCAGATGCCAGGCCCCTGCCCTTCAGCTCACGTGCCCACCTCTAGCCATCCCAGGCCTGGCTGCGGGGACCCCACATCCACTTCCCAAGCTAGGGCCACATGGAAGGCCCTGCAGAGCACAGCTGCCATGTTCCCAGCTCTTGGGGGTCACCAGCCTCTTTTGAGAACCCCCAGAAAATGCCCCTACATGCACAAACACAAACCCCAGCTTCTCATCTGGGGGCTGTGAACTCCCCAAAAGCCCATCCTAGAGCGGGTTACAGACTGGGGAGCAGCTGCCAGGCAAGGGCTGTGGAAACCGAGGCATGGATGTCACAAGGCAGGACACAATCCTCCACCACCACCCCGCCCCCAGCTGGGGCGGGACCACGGGGAAGGGAAGCCTGAGGGGGGTTTTCAAGTTGTTTCATTCTTTACTCATTTTTTCAACTTACCAAAATTTAAAGTTCAGTAGTGGCATCTCCCCTGAATAAGCCCTATTCGCTCCCTCATGGGACAGTCTGGGTACAAGCGAGCTGACACCCTTCTGAGGGTCCAGGTCCGAGTTGGGTGCGGGGTGCCTGTGGGGGGCTGCACTGACCCCGGCCCCCTCCAGAGGTGAGCAGGACATGGGGACAGGCCCCCCCAGAGCCGTGACTTCACACACACAACACATTCAAGTTAACCACAAATGTGCAACAACAAAGCCACTGATCTGCACGCCCTCCCCCTCCTCCCGCCAGGCAGCAGGTGACGGCCCCCACACTGCCCCCTCCCAGTCGGGGCGTTTCCTCATGCTGAGTCTGTGTGCACGATCACAGGTGCGTGACCGTGTGTGTTACCACGTGTACATGTATGAGATGACAGGGGCAACGGGAGGGCAGCCCGGCAGCTAGTGCTTCCCACCTCCTGCGTGTCCCTGACGCTCCCGAAAACCTCGTAGGGAGCAGCCAGGAGCCCGTATCACAGACGTGAAGCCGGGACTCCGGGCTCCCACGCAGCCCAGAGGAGCTCCAGGGCGGGAGCCCCAAGCCAGGAGAGAGGACAGTGCCTGGGCAGCGCTGACCATAGTGCCCCCCTCCCAGCCCAGGGGCAGTGCTGTCCTAGAGGCAGAGGTCAGTGCTGGGCACACAGCTGGCGGGCACCCGCAAGTCTAGAACTCCCTTCAGCCCCTCCTACAGTGTCGGGCAACGGGACGGGGCTGAACACAGGGCTGGCATCATCCACAGGACCACCCTCTGCTGGCTCCACATCCCGGGACTCGGCATCAGTCCCCCTGGAGGCGGCTGCAGAGGCCATGACCTGCCTCTCTTCTGCTTTCCTCTTTGTCCCCGGCCCCTGATGTTTGCCTGCGAGGAAGACTAGCTTCCAACCTTCCTGTGCAGCTCAGGCCACAGGGCCACACTGATGCCAGCAGAAGTGACACGTGGGACTCGGGGTGGAAGGGGGGCCTCCAGGTCCCCCCGGCTGGGGCTGTCTCATGGGTGGCAGCTCCAGGACCACGCTTGTTCTTCCAGCAGACCCTGCCTCCTGTGGGCCCGCCACAACCCAGCTCTGGCCCCGCCGTGCCCCCAGGAGGTGCCCCTTGGGTCAGCAGGAGGAGGGCACACATCCACGTTCTGTCCTGCATGTCAGGCCCACAACGGCCCTCCCGGGCCAGGTCTGGGGATGGAGCAGACAGAGCGGGAGAGCCCCGGGCAGACACACTCACCTGCGCGTCGAAAGCAACGAACAGCACCAGCTTGACAGACGCCAGCACAGGACGGCACGTGACACCGTGAAAGCATGTGCTGACTGCATCCAGGGTGGGGGACAGCGGGCACCCTGAGTGGCCCTGCCCATGGGAGGCCCTGGTGGTTAACAGGACCACCACCACCACTGGGGCTGCAGAGGGACACAGTGGGATGCCTGGTGCCTCCTTTTCCTCCAGCTCCGCTCACAGCCCCACAGGATGGGCACGCTGCCCCGTCACAGGGTGACACATCCGCACTCACCCCATCCTCCTCCCAAAGCCACATCCTCCCCACAGACCTCTTCCCCGGGAGTCAGCAGAGGCCTTTAAATAAGTAAATATGTGGATAGATGAATATAAAATAAAAGATCTGAAAAACCTGTTGACAAGCGCTGCTCGTCCAAGGCGGCAATTACCACCTCCCCTTTCCGTGTGGGCGGGAGGAAGTGAGCAGTGCCAGGCGGGCAGGAGCGGGTGGGGGCTGGCCCCACGCCAGGCCCCGCGCCCCCCGCCTCCCCTTCTGCGGCTCCCAGCTCCCCCGCCCCACGCTGCAGCCGGAGCTGAATCAGCCTCTGGCCCAGCACTGGCACCACTGGG